AAATTTATAAAGAATTTATAAAACTCAACACCAAAAAAACAAAAAACAATTTTAAAAATGGGCAAAAAAACTTAATAGACTCTTCTCCAAAAAGGACATACAGGTGGCCAATAGACATATGAAAGAATGCTAAACATCAATAGTCATCAGAAATGCACATTAAAACCGCAATGAGCCCTGGCCGGTTTGGCTCAGTGGTTAGAGCATCGGCCTGCAGTCCAGAGAGACCTGGGTTTGGTTCCTGCTAAGGGCATGTACCTTGGTTGCAGTTTGTCCTTGGCCCCAGTTGGGTCGTGCAGGTGGCAACCACTCGATGTGTCCCTTTCACGTCGATGTTTCTCTCTCTCTCTTCCTCTCTCTCCCTCCCACTCTATCTGAACAACAACAAAAAAACTGCAATGAGATATCACCTCACACCTGTCAGAATGGCTATCATCAATAAGTCAACAAACAACAAGTGTTGGTGGGGATGTAGAGAAAAGGGATCCCTCATGCACTGTTGGTGGGAATGCAGATTTGTGCAGCCACTGTGGAAAGCAGTATGGAGTTACCTCAAAAAAAGTAAAAGTGGAACTGCCTTATGACCTAGTGATTCCTCTTCTGGGAATTTATCCGAAGAATCCTGAAACTCAGACTGTGATTTGAAAGAATATATGCACCCCTATGTTCATTGCAGCGTTATTTACAATAGCCAAGATTTAGAAACAGCCCAAATGTCCATCAGTAGATAAGTGGATAAAAAAGCTGTGGTACATTTCACAGAGGAATACTACAATGCTGTAAAAAGGAAGAAAATTTTACCCTTTGCAAAAGCAAGGATGGACCTGGAGAACATTATGCTAAGTGAAATAAGCCAGAGAAAGACAAGCACCATACGATTTCACTCACATGTGGAATTTAATGAACAAACTGAACTACCAAGCAAAATAGAGACAGACTCATAGATAGAGAACAGGCAGACAGAAGGGTGGTAGGAGGTGGAGGGGTTGTGGGGGTAGAAAGATTGAACAAAAAATATATAAAGAGAGAGAACTCATGGACATGGACAACAGTGTGGTGATGGGGGGATGGGTGGAGGTAGAAGAAGGCATAAAGGAGGTGATGGGAAAAATCAAATTAACAAAAACAATTTTATCTATTAGTTCCATCATTCCTATGTTTTTATTGATTGATTTTTATCTCTTGATTGTGAGTCAACATTTTTCTGATTCTTAACAAGTTTAGTAATATTTCTTTTGGATACTGGCCATTATAAGTCTCTGAATAGTGTTTTACTTTAAAGAGTATTAGACTTTGTTCTGATAAGCAGGTAAGCTGTTTATACACATCAATCTGATCCTTTCAAGGCCTATTTTAATTTTTGCTACAATAGATGTAAATTCGCCTTTATTCTGGGGATCATTCAGTCTTACTAAGCTATGACACCTCTCAGTATCTGTTGAGTGGCTCAATTGATTACTGTGTACTTTCCACTGGCTACTGAGGACTTAGGCTATTTGAAGTTCTCACATTCTTCACCCAGTATGAGCTCTAAGTATTATTCAGCTTACAACTACCCAGTCTTTCTTTGCCCTGCCTCAAGAAGTTTCACCTACACATGCATGGTCAAGGACACCTCCTATTCAGATATCTGGGTCTCTCTCTGCATAGCTCCCTAGTCTCTAGAACTCTGCCAGACAACTTTGGCCTCCCCAGACTCAATTCAGACAGGTTGCTGGGCTCTGCTTCCATCACCCGTCCTGCATCCACAGCCTGAGAATTGCCTCTAGGCAAGAATCTGGGGTGCTTGAAAAGCTTACGCTTTTGTTTCCTTCCCCAAGGAATTATGATTCGTACTGCCTGTTGTCTAATGTCTGAATATGATTGCTTTTATATATTTTGCCCAGGTGTCTAGTTGTTTATAGTGGGAGAATAAGTCTGATCTTTGTTATTCCTCTATGACTAAAAGCAATAGTCCCAAAATTATTTTTTAAATTCCTGTTTTAGAATATACCAGATGTAGATACATGCAATGTAATATTAGCCTTAAAAAGGAAGGAAATTCTGATACATGCTTCAACATGGTAAACCTCTAGGACGTTATTCTGAGTAAATAAGGCAATCACAAAAAGACATATTATATAATTCCACTAACATGAGGTACCTAGAATAGGCGAAATCAGAGACAGAGAGTAGAATGTGGTGCTGTGGACTGGCAGAGGGGGAATGGGGAAGTTTTGTTTAGTGGATATAGAATTTCCGTTGTGCAACATGAAAAGAGTTCTGAGAATTGGTTACACATAATGTGAATGTACTTAACTTGACTGAACTAGACACTTCAAACTGATGAAGATGGTAAATTTTTATGCATTTTTGCCACATTTAAAACAAATTAAAAGTGAACACTTAGTGTTTCACCCTCTTTACATTTAATCTGCCCAACAAACCCTTCTGGTTTAGGTACAATTATGTTCATTTTACAGATGGGGAAACTCAGGTGCATAGTTGGAACATATTTTTAAAAAGAATCCCATTGTACCTTAAACCACCATTCTTTGTAAGAGTTGGCAAACCACCAGCAGATGTTGCCATTGAGCCACCCACCTTTGTTCCCTCCTATTGCCTCAGGTTCCATCCATCCAAGAGCCTTCAGAAGCCTCAGAATTCTGGGAAGAAATCTGTTATGCCTGAACACGACTCTACAATTTCATGATTACTATAAGACCAACTAATCCATCTACATATATATGAACATGTATCTATAAACAAATATGTTCATACAATTCTGCTGAATAATATTAAAATAACTGTGTATGGTGCCAGGTTGGGACTACTAGGCTTATTGTGGTGATCATTTTGTAAGGTATATAAATGTCTAATTACTATGGTGTACACCTGAAACTAATTATAATATTGTATATCAACTATAATTTAAAAACATGAAGTATTGTTAAATAATATAGAAAAGCTGTTAGGGGTCAAAAACTGGTTAGTGAGGTTTTGCTGCCCTCTGTTGGACTGTTTGTGTATATGCTCCTGAGGGTCTGTTTTTTGTTTTGTTTTTTCAACAAAAACGGATTATGAAGTCTCAGATTTGGCATTCAATAGTTCAGTGTTAGATTCTCTTCTTAGACCTTTAAGTTTCAAGGAGGCATCTTAGATATTGCATAAGTGTCTAATTAAAATTCTATCTTCTAAATATATTAAACTATTTTTTACAATAAAAACAATATTGGGTATTTACATATTACATAGCCAATTTTGACACACCAGATACTGCCTGAAACTAGTTTTGGAATGGAAAAAGAAAATCTTAAGCCATTCACTGTGATAGCAGGCAGAAAGTGATGGATTACAATGTACTTTATAGGAATTCACCAGTAACTTCCTGGATATAAGAAATGACAAAGCAGAAAAAGTCAGAGGTGACCATGAAGTTTGGAGCCCACCTGATTAGTGTCACTAAAGAAAACCAGATCAGAAGGAAAGTTGGTGGTTGGGTGAAGTGATGAGAAAAAGATTAAGTTTGTGATGTTCATCTTTTTTATTCCTAATAAGTGAGTTTTCTATATTATAATATTCAGCTGGCAATACATGCTAACAGCCAATACACCCCCAAAATATACTCAGTTGATACATCTTTGCTAAATGGGATATTTTTAGACAATAAGCTTATATATTCAAATGCAAGTGATTTATTTCACTGTAACTTGGCCTGTTACTCAGCAAGTCAACTAATAATTTAAAAAAGAAAGAAAGAAAGAAATCTGAAGCCATTCAGTCTTCTCATTATCTGCTCTTATACTTTGTGCTGAATCACTGCATTTCAAACCCTATGGTCATCTGTTAAACCATTCCAGTAGGAAAAATACTTACAATGCTTTACGGGGGATTATAATGAGAGCTTGAAAATTGTGAACTATTGTAAGTCTTCTGCACCTGAATTATGAATTGGAAGTGTTTCCATTCTTCATATGGTTTATTTTGAAACACCTGGCAACATCATTTTATGGTTTACTACTGGGTTCTTTCAAAGAATTATAAATTACTGCTCAGCAGTTAGAGGGTCGGCCTGTGGTCCAGAGAGACCTGGGTTCGGTTCCCGCTAAGGTCACGTACCTCAATTGCAGTTTGTCCCCGGCCCTGGTTGGGTCGTGCGGGTGGCAGCCACTCGATGGGTCCCTTTCGTGTCGATGTTTCTCTCTCTCTCTCTCTCTCCCCCTCCCACTCTATCTGAACAAAAAAATGGAAAAATGTCCTCGGGTGAGGATTAAAAAAAAAAAGAATTCTAAATTACTGACACATTAAGAACAGGAGTGTAGCCCTAGCCGGTTTGGCTCATCGGTTAGAGCATCGGCCTGTGGTCCGGAGAGACCCGGGTTCGGTTCCCGCTAAGGGCACGTACTTCGGTTGCAGTTTGTCCCCGGCCCTGGTTGGTCGTGCAGGTGGCAGCCACTCGATGTGTCCCTTTCACGTCGATGTTTCTCTCTCTCTCTCTTCCTCTCTCTCCCTCCCACTCTATCTGTACAAAAAATGGAAAAATGTCCTCAGGTGAGGATAAAAAAAAAAAAAAAAGAATGGGAGTGTGGTGGTAAGGAGGACAGCAATAGCTTTCTTCAGTAGCTATTATCGATTTCTTCCAATTCTTTCCTTCTTCCCTTGGAAAATCTCTTACGCTGTAACACAGCCTTGGTTTGTATTTAGGCTGACAATGATCAAGAATAGTGAAGTCCTAAGCCATCTTTTGCCTAGATTTTTGTGACAGTCTCCTAACTGGTCTTCTTGCTTTTGTGTTATATCCCTAAAACCCACCTTCCATAACAGAAACTCCAGAATGATCTGTCTAAGGTGTACCTCTGATTGAGTCAGCCTCTACCTAAAGTCTTTATTTTTACTTTTTTTTTTTTTCAGTAACAAGAAAATATTGATTAATACTTCATTACTTTGTTCAGATGCTTCTCCAGGGTGTCATGTTCACAGTAATAAGAGTGTTAGTGTAGAGTGAAGGTAATGTGTGCGATATGGACCCAACATCCACCATCATACATGTAAATAGAACCCTAGGAAACAGTTGCTGAGAACAACAGACCGTGCCACTGTTTCTAAATATACCCTCCCTGGTTTATTGAGGTACCATCTAAGAGATTATATTTTGTTATTACTTGTATTTTGACTGTGTCCCTAGAAAAAGCAACAACTCGACTGTTGAATTTTTAAGTGTTTTTTCGTCTTTTATGCATAGAAAAACCTGTTCTTTCCTGATGCAGCCTCTTAAGTGTGGATGAACTGAGGGGTATGGCTGGAAAGTGAAAATATAAAGTTATTAGCAGACCATTTCCCACAGAATATACTTCACCACCTTAAAAATTTTATTAAAACCATGATTTCCTAGAAAAAGAAAAGGTGCCTTTAGTTACCTGATTTTAGAAACTGGGTAATATGGGCCCTTAAATCATTCCCACACCTTTTATTTGCCTATGGTTTTCTTGACTCTCATAAAAGAAAATGAAGTTGAAAAAAGTCAGACATGTTCTGAGGCCTGATTTCCCATTGTTTGAGTACAGAACTTTAGTCTAGGACCTCCTGTGTCATATGTTTTGTTGTTGTTGTTTGTATTGTTTTTATTAATTTTCACCCGAGGATATTTTCCATTGATTTTTTTAGAGACTGGAAGGGAGAGAGGGAGAGAGAGAGTTGCGGGTAGTGGTGGGGGGAGAAACATCCATATGAGAGAGACACAGTGATTGGTTGCCTCCTGCAGGACTCCAACTGGGGCCTGGGATTGAACTGCAATCGCAGGTATGTGGCTGTGACCAGAATCAAACCCTCGACCCTTTGGTCTTCGGGCCGAAGCTCTAACTGCTGAGCCAAACTTTCCAGGGCTGGTTTTTAAACAAGAAAACTGTCACTTCCTTAATATTAAGATGTTCCCTATTCTGTGAGGAATTTTTATTTGTGGGGGATATAGGCATTCCTTCTCTGTTCCTTACTCTCCTCACACACCACACTGCTGGAAGGCTGTGCCCCAAGTTTGCCATTTTATAACAGACTGAAGGGACTGCCTTGCTGCTGTGCTGGAGCTGACTTATCCCAAAGACATGGACGACGAGAGGACCATGCTGATGTTGACCACGCTGTTGGCTAAAAGGGGGGCTGAGCACACACCAACCTTGCTCCGTGATGTCTTTCACACAACTGTGAGTTTTATTGACCAGAACCTACTCACTTATGTGAGACACTTAGTCAGAAATGAGATGGACTGAATGGATGGATGACTGCAAAATGATGTCTGGTTAAAACTTGATACGGTGACAGCAGTTAGCTGTCTCCAATGGAGATGGAGCCATGACCACTTAAAGTTCTTAGAGAAGACAGGCACAAGATAATAGCTATTTCTTTCTCACTGTTTTAAAGGAGACGTTTTAAGCTGGTGACCCATTTAGAAATTTCTACGTTAATATACTTGAATGAAAATGTCAACTTGCACATATTTGAACAGGCTTCCTCCCATCTTCTAAATCCGTCTACACAGTGTGCCTTTATCTTATGTCAGCTATAGAGGCTGACAAGTTCAATTTAACTTGAAAATTAAAGTTAAAGGCAGATTATAAGGCAAAAGGAAAAAACATAAATGTTTTTGTTTAGAAATAAAACTCTTGCCCTGGCCAGTTTGGCTCAGCGGTTAGAGCGTTGGCCTGCGGTCCAGAGAGACCCAGGTTCGGTTCCCACTAAGGGCATATACCTCGGTTATAGTTTGTCCCCGGCCCTGGTTGGTCTTGCAGGTGGCAGCCACTTCATGTGTCCCTTTCACGTCGATGTTTCTCTCTCTCTCTCCCTCTTCCTCTTTCCCTCCCATTCTATCTGAACAAAAAATGGAAAAATGTCCTCGGGTGAGGATAAAAAAATAAAATAAAATAAAACTCTACTAAAAATCTTTAAATTCTAATCCCTTGTCTTCAGGATGAGATCTAAATCCTTGACCTTGGTACATGAGGATCTGTGATTCAGCTCAGCCTGCCTCTCAATTTCCTGTCTCACCCCATATACCACAAGGACCAACTGTGCTTCCCTGCTACATCAAGGTATCACAGTGGTATCTTTATTCCTTGTTTCCCTCACTGTCCTCTCTTCCTAGATTCCTACCATGCTCCCTGCCACTTCAGCTTCCTACCTCTGGCCTTTGCTAACTCAGCAAGTCTCTACAAGATGGTCTCCTTTGCTTGATTGTCTTTTCAAGCAGAAAATATGTCAATGTTTAATCCCCTGCATCAGACACAGTTCCTGGCAAGCACAAGTTGATCAATAACTATTTGCTAAATAAGCAAGTTAAGTGAATGAGTACCAGTAGCACTGGTGTGGTAATCTCCAAGTTACCAGTGTCCCAGTGTGAGAGCATGAGGCCTTCTCCTGTTTTGTAAGTTTCCTAGGTTCCTGCAGATCGGCTGTGGTTGGAGGTTGCTTCAGGCATTGAGACAGACTTGTATGTTATATGGGGGTTTTTTAAACTTGCAATTTTACTCTATTTCAGACCCCTTTCGATAGGAAATAGGGATTTTGCTTGAATAATTTCTGAAGCTTAAATATTTGGGACTTCTCTTATATGCAATTCTATAAGAATCTAAATTCTAATATACTTCTTATAGAAATAGCACCTTCACACATTTAGAGTATGAAATTCTTGGAAAAACTTGACAGTATTAAATGTCTTACATTGCGTGTTATATTTATAGGAAACAGAAACTCAACTAAGGGTCATGGAACCTATGATTGCAGATTGATTAGGAAAGTGAAGAGTTAATTCACATTTTAAAATAGAAGCAATACCTAATGGTGAGTGTAACTAACCAACATCTCTGTTAGGGATGTGGATAAACATCTTCTAAAAGAATTATAGAGCCCTGGCCGGTTTGGCTCAGCGGTTAGAGCGTCAGCCTGCGGTCCACAGAGACCCGGATTCGGTTCCCGCTAAGGGCACGTACCTTGGCTGCAGTTTGTCCCCGGCCCTGGCTGGGTCGTGTGGGTGGCGGCCACTCGATGTGTCCCTTTCACATCGATGTTTCTCTCTCTTCCTCTCTCTCCTTCCCGCTCTATCTGAGTAAAAAATGGAAAAATGTCCTCGGATGAGGATAAAAAAAAAAAAAGAATTATAGAGCAATATTAATAATATTTTATTAAAGAAATATATAAATACTATTTTATATTTAATATGTTTTGAGTTCTTGAGAAGTAAAGCAAAACTGAACTTTTGAACATTATTAGCATAGTCTGTCCCCAGAGAATACGATTCTCAAGAGAATGGCACAAACCACATGTAGAATTCCTCTAGATACGTAACCAAATACCATATTTTCTTCAATTAGATAAATGTCTGGTGTTATGTTTCTATAATTTACATAAATTGCAACCATAGACCTACCAATTACCCTATTTAAACTTGGCTGGTTCCCCAAAGATTTCTTACAAGAAAACTTAAAATAATAATTAGTTGCCTATCTTTTCAGAGCCACTGAAGGGGCAAGGATACTAATACTCGAGGTTGTAATTTTTGTAAGAATCTATTTTTGCATATCTCTCCTAGCCAGAATTATTATTACATTAAGTGGAAAGATAATTGGGGAAAACACGTTTTTGTATGTGTTTGGAAATATTATGGGAAAGGACATTTGAATAGATACTTAAAGCCAAACAATAATCTCACTTTCTTTTATTTTAGATAGTCGAAATGCAATTTTTTTGGAAAAGAATTTGGAATATATATATATATATATATATATATATATATGAGAAAAATTACTTACAAAGTCACAGAGGTAAAAGAAGTGAGTCATAGAAGAAATGGGTTAAAGAAACACCTTTTTTTTAAGAGAGAGAGAAAGATCAATTTGTTCTACTAATTTATGCATTCATTAGTTGTTTCCTGTAAGAGCTCTGACCAGAGATCAAACCTGCAACCTTGGTGTAACCAGACGACACTCTAACCAACTATGCCACCTGACCAAGGCAAGAATTTATATTAATAATTTATCAGGCCTTCTGTTTAATGTTATTTTTTAAAAGGGGTTATTATTAGTTAACTTTAATTTTTAAATCTTTAAAATATAAAAATCAAGAAAAGACATGGCGAGAACTTTGGCTACTTACATGTTCATATTTTATAATCATTGGACATAAGCATGTACAGGGTATAGATGTCAATTGCTGCTGCCTTAATTGACCCAGGCTACATGTCAGCTATATTTGCATCATGCTGCTGCTGTATTTGTAGAATCCAGTGTTTTAGTCTTTTTCTGGTTGCAGGTCAAATAACTTCCTATAGCATATACCTCAAAAAGTGTTTTCCCCAAGTTATTAGTGGAACAATATATCAATTCCCTTTTTTCAAAAAATAGTTTTATTGGTATAATTCACATACAAATGAAATAGTATCATCTGTGGCTATTTGTACCGGTTTCTTTTACTTAGCCTAGTTTTCAAGGTTCATCCATGAAAAAACTAGGCTGTTTCAAGGTTCATCCATGTTGTAGCCTGTATCTGTATTTTAATCCTTTGTGTGGCCAAATAATATTGGCATTACATGTGGCATTATGTAGATAATGCCACAATTTGTTCATTCACTTGATGAAACATTTGTTAAAAGGACAGCCTTTTATTTTATTTTTGTATGTATTGATTTGAGAGAGAGAGAAACATCGATTTGTTGTTCCACTTATTTATGCATTCATTGGTTGCTTCTTGTATGTGCCCTGACCGCAGATCAAAACTGAAACCTTGGTATATTGGGAGGATGTTCTAACCAACTAAGCGACCCAGCCAGGCTAATTAATGTCCTTTAAAAATCAGTATTTACTATGTAGCAAAAGGTCATGTCAAATATATCTTTTATTATTGGGCTTTTATGCACTGAGGACAAAATGTCCAAAGTTAAAGTCTGAGTACCTTTTGGTACTATGAAGCACGAATAATAATACAATATCCTGAGTCATGTGATGAAAAAGAGAAACTGATTCTCAGTTCAGTTGTAAGTTAGTCCAGAAATCACATACAAATCATTAGATGCCATTAGGCAAAAGTAAAAATGAAGAAATCTGTGTTTATAAGGGAGTTGGTGGGAATTTTCCTATTCCCTGAGAAGAACAGAGGGGCAAACGGGAGGAGAAGTGATACATCGAGGAGAGATTGAAATGCATAGTGCTGTAACTTCATGATTTATCTTTATTTCTCTTGAGAGCCTTGATTAACAAACTAGAGACCCCAGAGGCCAACAGGCAAATAGGATTTCATGTAGTTGCAAGGGCCTGAAACTGGGGTAAGGAGTTGTAAGTGTGAGTGCCGCTCCATCACTTATTGGTGGTGTTTCCTTCAACAAAACAGTTAAGCCACCATTTCCTCCTCTGATGAAAGTGGCAGTGTTTCTTTGGCAACTGCTGTGAAGATTAAATCAGGTAATGGGAAGCACTAAACTAAACCCAGGAGCAGGATGAATCTTTGTTTTCAGTTGATTCCCTAGAAGCCCAGCCTGGGGTCTGGTAGCAGATAGAGTTCCAAGAAATATTTGTTGAGAAAATAAGTAAAGCATTTGGTAAATTGTAAGGAAGTATTCAAATGTTCTTTCTGTATGATTACTCTTTTTCCTCCAGTTTATTCAGTCTTCCCAATAGAGTGGTGAGCCGTGTTATTCTCCTGAAAACAGGACTTCCTACACAACTTTCTTTTGTCCTCCTTTGTTATAAAAACATAAAACCTAAGACACTTTTAATTTGATTTTTTTCACACGTTTACCACTGTCTGCACTTCTGTAGTGTACCACTTCCTCTTGAGCATTTTTTTTGTGTGTGTGTGCACCACCCTCCTTCTTAGAAAACTCCACAAACGACAATGCAAACAAAGTTAGTATAAACCTGAGTCTTTCTTCGGGTGGAAATGGCAGTGGTGTGAATGATCTTGTAACTATTTCCATACTGATCAGCCAGCTGACATAACACAACAGTCACTTCCAATTGTTAAATACTTTTGATTTCAACAAGTCTTGGATTGGCAAATGAAATTCACCTGTCTTCTCAAATGCAGTAAAGGGCACTTTGAATTTGTATAAATCATTTAAAGGGAGTGGATAGACACACCCTAATTTATATTTTTGGTAAACCCAGATTCCCATAAAATGAATCCAGTTTGCTTAAAGCAAGATACACTTGTAAATACTTAATGGGGCAAACTCAAATCAGGTTATATGAGATGAGTGATTTTCTTGCCAGAAAATACCAGA